TCCGCAGGTGGCGGCCCGCGTGCACCGGAAGGGACAGTGCCCCGGAAGGAGAACGATTTCCTGTCTGCCGCACGTGCTTGATGCGCTGCTCTGCGCTGAGCCCGCGCCTTGATGAAAAGAGAACTAAACCCGTGGAAATCTTCATAAAGGAGGTGGGCTCGTGTAGTCTGGGGACCCCCCGCCCCCCGCCCAAGCCCTGGGTTTCAGACCCTAGTAATCTTGGGCTTTTTCACGGCCTTTCATTTATTTTTATTATTATTTATTTACTTTTATTTCAGAGAGGAAGGGAGGAGAGAGAAACATCCATGATGAGAGAGGATCATGGATCGGCTGCCTCCTGCACGCCCCACACTGGCAATGGTGCCCACAACCCGGGCCTGTGCCCCGACCGGGAATCGAACCCTGACCTCCTGGTCCCGAGGTTGATGCTCAACCACTGAACCACACCGGCTGGGCCCCAAGTACTTTTCTTTAGATACCAGTGGTTTTTCGCAACAGCTCGTTTACAATAGGCAGGATGGACAATACAGATGCAGAAGCATCCCAGTATCACTGGTGCTATGTCAGTGTTGCAAATGGCATGCTGCTTTGTGTGCGAGCGCAGCCTCCCACGGTGGGTATGTCACGGCTGACCTGCCAAGATTGGAATGACACATCTTATCAGGGGCCTTGCCATCCCCTACAACAGCCTATTATTAAAGAACTAAATAAGCATCACTGTTCATTTACTTTTTTTAAAATATATTTCTTTATTGATTTCAAAGAGGGAGAGGGAGAGAAACATCAATGATGGGAGATTGTCATTAATCAGCTGCCTCCTGCACACCCCACACTGGGGATTGAACCTGCAACCCAGGCGTGTGCCCCGGCTGGGAATCGAACCACAGCCTTCTGGTGCATAGGTCGATGCTTAACCACTGAGCCACACCAGCTGGGCTGTTCATTGACTTTTGACAGTGCTGTTAAGAGCAATGCATCTGGTGGGATTCCAATGGCTTTTCCCTCTTCATGCTTTCTTTTCAACGCAAGTACAGCCCGGCCAGTGTGGCTCTGTGGTTAAGCAAGGACTTAGGAACCAGAAAGTCAGGGTTTCATTCCCGGTCAAGGTACAAGCCCGGGTTGCGGGCTAGATCCCCAGCAGGGGGCGTGCAGAAGGCGGCTGATCTACGATTCTCTCTCATCATTGATGTTTCTCTCTCTCCCTCTCCCTTCCTCTCTGAAGTCAATAAGAATATATTTAAATATATAACGAGACCAATTAAAAGGTCAGTATTTAGGTCAAGTTTCCAAACACCTCAGCAGCTCCAGCCTGGTGACTGCAGCCCCCGTGTGCTCCCAGAAGAGGTGGGAGGAGTCGGACAGGCAGAGCCGGAGGCCCGGTGACCTGGCCGCCCTGGCGGTGGCCTTCAGTGATGGTGTGGTTTTCAGCCTTTCTGTCACTCAAAAATCCCCAGTATTCAGAGAACAGACAGAAGTTGAAAACCAGTCTTTCTGTGCTTTCTCTCCTCCTCCCCTGTGGATCCAACTAAAATTGCTCTCCCAGCCCTGGCTGGTGTGGCTCAGTGGATAGAGCACCGGCCCATGGACTGAAGGGTTCCAGGTTTAACTCCGGTCGGGGGTACATGTCTTGGTTGCAGGCTCCATCCCCAGCCCGAGCCCTGGTCAGGTGTGTGCTGGAGGCAACCAATCCATGTATCTCCCTCACATCGATGTTTCTCTCTCTCCACTGTGTGGAAATATCCTCGGGTGAGGAGTAAAAAAATAAATCCTTAAAGAGGGAGCCCTTCTCATTTACTCAGCATCTGTCATGTGCTCAGAGTGGGACTGACAGGAGGCTATTCACTATGGACAATGGAAAGAGCTTGGCAAACAGACTGTTCACGCATGACTAAAATATAATGTGTCAAATGCTACAATACAGGAAAGAGCACACAGTGAGTACGATTTAATGGTTCAAAAGAGACGGGGGAGGCTACAGTCGGTTTGGCTCAGTGGATAGAGCATTGGCCCATGGACTGAAGGATCCCGGGTTCGATTCCAGCCAAGGGCATATACCTCACTCGTAGGCTCAATCCCTGGCCTTGGTCAGTGCGAGTGCAGGAGGCAACCAGTCAGTGTGTGTGTGTGTCTCTGTCTCACATCGATGTTTCTCTGTCTCCCCCTCTCTTCCATTCTTCCTAAAAATCAACGGAAAAATATCCTCGGGTGAGAATTAACAAAATAGATGGGGGAGGCATCCCAGATCCAACGTGGACGATGGGGCGTGATGGAGGAATATATATGTAAGAAAATCAAGGTGACACTGCTCAGACATGGGTGGGGGAGAACCGGGGGTGAGAGCAGCAGGTTGGGGCCCATTGCACAAGGCCCCGCCTAACCTGTTTGAGTCTGACAAACAGCCTGTTTGTCAGTGTCACCATCCCAGCACACGCGGAGGGCAGGCGACAATGCAGGGAGGTTTAATCGCGGAAATGCAGCAACGTGACCATTATTTAAAAAAATAATTTAGAACACGCTTCCAAATAATGTTGACGAAGCCAGATACCAAAGAACACATGTGCCATTTGTAGAAAAGCCAAAACCAGGCAATGTTTATCTACATTCTCTCCATTTAGGATAGAGTTACCTTTATGGCCATGTACCAGAGGGAGGGAGCGAGCGAGAGAAACATCAATGAGAGAGGATCACTGATCCGCTGCCTCCTGCACGCCCCCTACTGGGGATCGAGCCTGCAAGGTGGGCCTGTGCCCCGACTGGGAATGGAACCGCGACCTCTTGGGTCACGCGTCCACACGAGCAGGCTGGGCTCGCTACATCTTTGTCAGTCACCGGGCTGCTTCTAATTGGCCCAAAGCAAAGCCTTCATTTAGAAAACGCTTCGGAGGTTTGCTCTTCTACTAGCACCTCATTCAGGCAAAACAAACAGTTCCTGGAAGTAAAATGCCCCCGTTTCACAGAGGGTTCGTGCTTTTATTACAAACTGCCTCGATCTGTTTTAACAACCTCAAAAGGGCGGTCGGGTTATAGGGGAAAAGGTTTTTCTTCTGCAGACGGGAAATGGCAGCTTGCAGCTCTTGGAAACACTTTACTGTTCGGTAAGACGTTCCCACTTCACAGTCAACGTTCCTTGGGGCGTCGTCACAATCCACAGAGAAAGGACTATTGGATTCTTTCGGAACCGCAGGCCCGGACTGAAGCTCCGAGCTCAGTTCTTTCTTACCCCTCCCTGTTCCCCCTGGGTCCTGAATTTTCTCCGTGGCGTCTGGGTGTGCAGATGTCTGCTTACTATTTGCTGAGCACAGGTCTGGGGGTTCTACTTCGGAGTCATCGGAGGTGTCGTAATCGACCAGGCTCTGAGCGGCCGGCGGGGACGCCCGACTGCCAGCCTGGGGCGTGGTGTGTCTCTCCCCGGAGATCACGACCTGGTTCGGGGGTTCGGGGCAAGCCTCCGACGCCCAGGAGACACAGGCCTGCGCGCTCCTGTGACTGCCAAGGGCAGCCAGCGGCCTGGATTCTGTGCGGTGGTTGCTGCTTGTGTCTTGGACAAGTGAGGCGAGGCGACCACAAGTATTTCTGCTATCGGGACATTCGGTTACATCAAAGTCCTTGCAAATGGTGAAAAATGCATCCCAGTCTTTGGGCAGTAATTTTAAGTATCGGACAAAATATTCCAGGAAGCAGGTTTCGGATGAAATCAAAAAGTCGAGAAGGACGGTAGAATCAAACCCTATAGTTTTTAAAAAGAATAAAAAAATGCAGTGCGGGTTGTAGCCGTTTTCGTGCGTGTGCTGGTTCCACGTTTCTTTTTCTTGGGCCAAGTTTTGAGCAGCTTCATGTTCTCTGAAAATAAAGATAATGGAGACCCCCAGATTAATGACCTTTTACAAAAATAAGTTTTGGCAGGTATAATTCACATGCAATAATTCACCTCCCAGATTACAGTGTCATCCATGCACTATTTTAAAAGAAAAAATTTGCCGAAACCGGTTTGGCTCAGTGGATAGAGCATTGGCCTGTGGACTGAAGGGAAAAAATCAATAAAATATATTTAAAAAGAATAAATAAAAATAAAAAGAAAAGAAAAAATTTAAGCCAAACTCTTTCTCCACAAACTCTATATTAACCCGACTCAATAAAATAAACGAGGGGTCCTCACACTATGGCCCGCGGGCCACATGCAAATACAAATATTGTATTTGTTCCCGTTTTGTTTTTTCACTTCAAAATAAGATCTGTGCAGTGTGCATAGGAATTCGTTCATAGTTTTTTTAAACTATATTCCGGCCCTCCAACGGTCTGAGGGACAGTGAACTGGCCCCCCTGTTTAAAAAGTTTGAGGACCCCTGAAATAAACAAAACCCACTGACTTTGGTAGTTCTAGTTTCTGTCTGCCCGACGACAAGTACCGTCTTCCAACCCTTGACATCAAACTTCTTCATTCCCACCCGTAACTCCTAATCCCACGTGGTAGGGTGGGTAAGGTGGATGGAGCTGGACCCTACCCTCCTCCCTTCCTTCTACCTCTCCTGATCCTGGTGGACATGTGACCCAGACTGACCAATCCGCTCTCCCCTGCGACTTCTGCTGGAGTTGTTAAAGGTTATTTATAACTGGAAGGCTGCTGTAAGTCTGACATTGCTAATGGCCCTGCCTAAGGATGAATTCAGAGGTGTGAGACAGAGAAGAGAGATAATCAACCTGATGGTGTGGCTCAGTGGTTGAGCATCGACCCATGTACCAAGGGGTCGCCAGTTCGATTCCCAGTCAGGGCACATGCCCGGGTTGTTGGCTCGATCCCCCCGAGGAGGCAGCCGATTCATGATTCTCTCTCATCATTGATGTTTCTCTCTCTCTCTCTCCCTCTCTCTTCCTCTCTAAAATGAACGAAAAATATATATTTAAAAATAAATAAAGCAGAAGCAGAACTAGTGGACAAGGTCATCAGTTACTAGCTTCCTAACCAATTACAGAGATGTGCCACAAGAAGGTATGACCTCGGCCCAGCTGTTTCAATAAAGCAGAAATAGGATCAGTATACAATGCCATCAGTGACGTGACTTCATAATCCAGTTCACAGCGCTGCCTCAGGATGGCATCAGCCCCAGTTCAACTGGGTATAAAAATGAAAACTTTCCCAACCAATGAGTAAATACTAAAAATAGGAAGAACGTGAAAACTCAGAATAGCAGCTCCTTCGATGACGTACAAGTTTCTATTCGCCTTTACAAAGGCTAGCATCACCTTATAGAAGCTCCACATGGAAAAGTTAGTCTTCGAAGGAAGAGCTCTTCACCAAATCAGTGAGATTAAGGTTTAGACCCAGGCAGCACAGAGATGGAGACCAAACCAGTGCTCCGTTTGCTAAGCCCAGGCCAGTTGTGCTAACCTAGGTTGCCTCGCCAGCCACCTCTTCTAACGAGAACTGACATGTAATCTCGTTTTCATGCAGGGCAGCGTTAAAGGGAGGAACTGGCTCTCACAAGGAAACCACAAGATTGTTAGGGATTTTTTTTTTTCCTCCTAATGATGGAAAGTAAACAATAGGGCCAGCGCCGTATTAGCGATGGTCTCTGCTTTCCTGGCATGGAGCGAGTGCAACGAGTTGACAACAGACCGACCTGGTGAGCTTGAGGTAGATGCCCATGGATGCTCTCGCAGCCTCCAGCATGTCATCGTCTTGCTCCATGAAGACCCTAGACAGCCACTCGCACGGGTTGTGCGCCGGCACGGAGGGCTGGAGGTGAGGCTGCAGGAAGGTCAGTAGCTCAGACATGTACCTCTGCAAATCACCTTCAAGACATGAACGTTGCAAAGTGTGGGCAACGGTTCACAAATACATTCACAGCTTGCCTAGCTATACACATAATGACAGCGTCTGGAGTGCTTTAAAAAGGCATCACTATGGCCCCGGCGGCATGGCTCAGCAATCCCCAGTAGGGGGCGGGCAGAAAAATCCAACAAGAACAAGACACCCTGGAACCATCAGGAGGTAATTTTTTTTTTTAAAATATATTTCATTGATTCTTCACAGAGAGGATGGGAGAGGGATAGAGAATTAGAAACATCGATTAGCCGTCTCCTGCACCCCCCGCAATGGGGATGTGCCCGCAACCAAGGTTCATGCCCTTGACTGGAATCGAACCTGGGACCCTTCATTCTGCAGGATGACGCTCTATCCGCTGAGCCAAACCGGTCAGGGCAATCCATGATTCTCTCTTATCATCGATGTTTCTCTCTCTCTCCCTGCCTCTCTGAAATCAATAAAAAAATATTTTTTTTCAAAGAAGACATTAAGTATATATATATTGTTACCAATAATTTACATTAGTAGATATATCACACTCAAAATGTCTGCAAGTTAGGGAATTGAGCTTCAGAGAAGAAAAGTGACCGATCAATAGAATTCCGTTAAAATGGACAGTCAGACTGTTCATGAATTCTAGCTAAAAGCACATAAATGAATGAATGGGCAGCAGACAACGGAAATCATCGAATGCCACAGCTGTTACTAGTGGCAACAATGCAAGGAAACAAAACGAATTTTGCTTTCAAAAATAACAAACTTGTTTTTGGTTATTTGAAGCATTAAAAGAAAGTACTACTATTAAGCACAAAACTCAAACGGGTTTGGGAAACTTGAAGTGCAATTTAGAACTCTGAGTTATGCAACATATGCCACCCAGTGTTGTAAATTATAACTGCACACAGTTATATCTAATATACCAGGATAGCTGATGTCCAAAGCAATTCGGGGAAGTCACTGCTTACAAGACAAACCGTACACTAACACTATACGCTGCTTGTTTAGAGATGTTTGCTCTTCATTTTTCTCAAATGAAAAGGAGGACATGTCTTCCCAACACCTACACTGAATATCATACTTTACATGGCTGTCTTAGGACTCTACATCCTGGAAATTACCTGCAACCATTTCTTCATCAATATAACTTTTCACAGATTAGTTTCCATTCAATTCATAATTATCAATAATCTACACAAGTAGATATGTCAGTTTCATAAAGGAGAATATGGAAATGCTACAAATACCCACATATCAGTTAACTTGCATCACTTATTTTGCACTGACTTAACCACACCTACTTTTTAAAAAACTTAGTAATTATAACAATTAGGCTTAGCCCACAAAATGTTGATGTTCCTGAAGGTAATTCTAATTTTTTTAAGAATATCTGATAAATTATTACTAGGATTACATGTAGCTTAAATTAGTAAAATTATAGTTCTGTGATTTGGTAACTGAATAATTTTACTTCAGTAATTACTCATTACTTCACATACAAAAGGAGGTAGGAGACGAGTAGGATTACATGTAGCTTAAATTAGTAAAATTACAGTTCTGTGATTTGGTAACTCTGAATAATTTTACTTCAGTAAGTAATTACTCATTACTTCACATACAAAAGGAATTAGGAGACCAGCTGGTGTGGTTCAGTGGTTGAGAGTCGACCTATGAACCAGGAGGTCACGGTTCAATTCGCTGTCGGGGCACATGCCTGGATTGTGGGCTCTATTCCCAGTAGGCGGTGTGAGTGCAGGAGGCAGCTGATCCATGATTCTCTCTCATCACTGATGTTTCTCTCTCTCTCTTCATCTCCCTTCCTCTCTGAAATCAATAATATATATATTAAAAAAGGAGTCAGAAGAATTACCTTTCATTTCCTTGGCTGAAGCACACTTTTGAAACTTGATTTCTAAGGATTTAATAACAAGCAAGCTCGCGGCTCTAAGGATCACGTGATCTGGACCAGGGGGCCGCTCACATCCAGGCTGAGCCTCACCGGCTGCAAAGCAGGAAGGCTTTCCGTGGACAGACAACGTCCTCAATAAGCCCAAATCCACAGCTTGCAGAACGGCAGCAGCTAACGCCGCCATGTCCCCCTCCAAATGCCGATCCGGTGGCGCCAGGGCGGCGACAGCCCCGCGGCAGAGGTCTTCACCCGCTTTCCAGAGAAGGCACTTTTTGAGGAATATGACGAACTTCCTTTTGACGAAAGCCTGCACGGGCCAGGTGATGACGTCCAGCACACAGGACGGCTTCAAAAATAAAATCCTCTGGCAGGTGAAATGCAGGTCCCGGTGGGTTCTGGAAGCGATGAGGAGTTCTAGCAGTTCCAGGACGCCCAGCAAGGTGTTGGCTAAGTGACAGGTGCCCGGGGGGCCGTCCAGATGCTGAGAAAAGAAGGAGTTGTAAAAGACTTCAAAGGGAGAGAACAA